ACCCTGGGTTATTTTAGGATTGACGATCCATTAATCTGGGGCAGTCTTCCGTTAAGGGTTTTTTCAAGTCGCGATAGACTTCGTTGGGCACTTGGCGCTCAAGAAATATGTTTCACCACACCGTGAGCAAAATATTATTACATAACTTCATTATAAATCGCGGTTGCTTACGGTTCTTTGTCATCAACTTCACGTCATCCATAGTTTCCTTTCCGGATTTTTTGCTCTTGGTCAGGTAGTACCAATAGTGAGGGGTGCTGGCGTATTTCAACCAGCAATGAATTTTGCTATAGACAGGTTAAACGAAGGAAAATGGGTATATACATCCACTTATCGATCATTTTCATTCTTTCGATTAACACTTTGTTAATTCAAGGTTCACATTTTCCCGGAAGGAAGGGTCAACTCAGAGACGGACCTGCTTAGGTTTAAATGGGGAGTTGGTCGTTTGATGATGGAATCGACAAATTCACCGATAGTTGTTCCGTTGTGTTTAAAAGGTTTGCCTTATTCTTTGGTTCAATTAATCATGGGAATTGTGATTTCTATCTTAAAGTTGTTTTCTTCCCGTGAGTTAGGTCCCGAAGAAATAATGCCGGAAAGAAGGGTAAATAATTGTTGGATACCTGTCCTTGGAAAGAAGGTCGTAATTACTTACGGAAAGCCTATTGACTTTAAGGGTACGCTGAAAAGTCACTATGAGAAAGAGGCTGAAGAGATTGTGACACGGATCGCAATCACCGACAGAATTTTTCGTGCGATAAGTGAGCTGCAAAAAAAAGATCAATTCATTGGAGGATGTAACATTCGAGGATAAGGGTCCATGAAATTTATTTATTTATTATTACATTATGTAAAATATTAGTTTAGAAAAATTTGCATATGCATGAAAATAACCGCACATCAAATTAAAATTTAGACTTTATACTCAAAACATTGCATTGCGATAGTGTTAATAGTTGATAAATATTTACTCGGACGTGGGCTAGAGAGGAAGTTCTTGCAATTTTTTGGGGGGATTTAGAATGCACGAAAGATCATTTTTCTATTCATGGTTTACCATAAAAATTAGCGAGGGACAAAAACAATGTGTTCCTGTATGTAATTGTGATACCCTATGCGTAATATGTGTGATATGCGCCATCGAAATTTTGCTAGTGTAAATATGTAATTTGATTTACTCGAAAGTCCCCGTGATTGTGGCTTATTCCAGTTGAAGTTTTAGATTCACATATTGATATAATTTTATCTGCTTTTCCGCGACCTTTACTTGGTTTCGTGTGCGAAACTTCAAGTCGTCTGTAACTTATCTTTCTTTTATTTTATTATTTCTTTTCTATTCTTTTTCTTTTTTTTGCCAACACATTCTTTTTAGAGTCGCTTATCATTGAAAAGTCAGCTTTCAAACCCGTGGTGTGCTATTTCAATCAACTTTTCCTTGCATTACATAACACTTAGCCAAGTTTTTGGTCAAACGCGGAGATGAACGATCTAATTCCAATAGTCAACAAACTACAAGATGTATTTAACACAATTGGCAGTGATACAGTAGATCTACCTCAAATAATTGTCGTTGGTTCACAGTCTTCCGGTAAATCTTCGGTCTTGGAAAATATAGTTCAACGGGATTTCTTACCTCGTGGCAACGGTATCGTCACTCGTCGTCCACTCGTACTTCAACTTGTTAACGTTCACGATTCTGAGGACGAAAAGGCCGAGGAGTTCGGTGAATTCTTACATGCTGCGAACAGAAAATTTGTGGATTTTTCCGAAATCCGAAGAGAAATTGAGAACGAAACTGCGAGGGTCGCAGGACAGAATAAAGGAATATCAAGATCTCCAATTCACTTGAAAATATACTCGCCGAATGTCCTAAATTTAACATTGGTGGATTTGCCTGGACTAACAAAGGTACTCTTAAGGACATTCTGTTTTTAATAACTTTACGTTGCGAAAGTGATCTGAGGACTTCTTTCTTTTTTAGATTCCAGTCGGTAGGCACTTGTAGATAGTTGGATTGCTAAAAACCTGATCGCTCGAGTGGTTTGACAGGAAATTCGTAATTGTATAATTTCTTAGGTGATCAGCCGACTGATATTGAGAAACAAACTCGAAGTTTAATTCTCGACTACATAACGAAACCTAACAGGTGTGTACACGATTAAATTCTCTCTTGATGAAAAAAAAAAAAAAACCACAGGTCTGACACTTCTTTCATCTTGCGGATCAAAAGTATAATTTTAGCTGTTAGTCCTGCCAACGTCGACTTGGTGAATTCGGAGAGTTTGAAACTTGCAAAACAAGTTGATCCCGAGGGTTTGTTTGTTAACGATTTGTTAAGAAATTACCACTTAATGGGCCACACGAAGTGTGATTTTCTTATTTGATTCCTGCCATATACAGGCAAGAGAACCATCGGAGTATTGACCAAATTAGATCTAATGGATGCCGGGACCAACGCATTGGAAATTCTCACGGGTCGTGTTTTGCCTTTAAAACTGGGATTTATTGGTGTTGTCAATCGCAGTCAACAAGATATCGTCGGAAACAAACCCATGTCTGAAGCGTTGAAGGCTGAAACCGATTTCTTTAGACATCACCTGGCATATCGAAGTATCGCGTCAAGGTGTGGAACTCCTTTTTTGGCGAAAACTCTTAACAATGTAATCTATGTTTAAAGTGACTTATGATGTGATGTTTGAGAATTTTTTTGATGCGTAATCTGTCCCACATGAAATTTGAAGCTAACGTTATTTGACAATAAAGATCCTCATGAATCACATAAGGGAGAGACTGCCTGATATGAAGGCTAGAATCAACTCTCTCATAAGTCAAACGCAACAGGAACTTTTGTCCTATGGAGATCCAACACTCGACGGAAAATCCAGTAGGGTATGTGATGTATGATTGCACCAAAAACTTTTTTTTTTTTTTTCCATTAATTTTACCTAATCGACGAATTCATTTGTCCATTCAGGGTGCACTGATATTAAGGCTCCTTACCAAATTTTCGAATGATTTCATCTCGTCGATCGATGGTACAATGATAGACATATCGACAAAAGAACTGTATGTATGCTTTCGGAATATTCTTAATCATTCTATTTAACCTCGATTCATGACAATCAATGATATAATAGATGTGGTGGTGCTCGAATATACTATATATTCAATAATGTATATGGTGCTGCGTTAGAGTCCATTAGTCCGTGCAGTAATCTTTCCGTACAAGATATTCGAACGGCTATTCGTAATTCGACTGGTCCACGACCATCATTATTTGTACCAGAAATTGCCTTCGATTTGTTAGTAAAACCTCAGATTCGGTTATTAGAGTCTCCGAGTCTGAGGTGCGTTGAACTCGTGTATGAAGAGCTGATGAAAATCTGTCATAATTGTGGAAGTCAGGTATTGTTGGTGTCGAGTGTGACAACAATTATCGTTTTTGAGTGTCTTCAAGTATTTGTGCTTAAATTTCTGAATGACTAGGAACTTGGCCGTTATCCACGTCTGCACGCGAAACTTTTGGAAGTTGTTTCGGATTTACTTCGCGAACGTCTTACTCCTACCTCAACTTACGTGGAGAGTTTAATTAGCATTCAACGTGCCTATATCAATACGAATCATCCAGATTTTATTGGTGGTGGGGGTGCGATCTCTGATCTCGTAAAGAAAAATGAGAAGAAGAGAAAAGAGTACGAGAAACTTAAAAAGGTATGCAGTTTCTGTAAAAGTTTCTATAAAAGGTTTAAAATTTACAAAGGGAAATTCTTTCGTTACACAGACAAACGTAAATGCTGGGAACAGCCTGCATCATGCGAATGGTTCGTTAACTGATGGTCAGGATCATCCTTTATCTTCTGAGTCGCTTAAAGAATCTAGTGGTTCTAGAGATTTAAGCATTCCGAACGGAGGAAATAATTCACGCGATTCCTTTTTGACGTATTTCTTTGGAAGCGGTAGCAAAGCTGACAGGATTGTCCTACCTGATCAACCAGCACCCACCAGAAATGGATCATTCTCCAAGTCGGCGATAGATATTGGCGAGTTGGAGAGAAAATTAGACAATGTAGGTACACAGATTGCATTGGTACAGTTTAAACATTATTTATTATAACATGCCACGCGATTTTTTCGAAGGGTGCGATCATCGATGAAGCAGTTCACTTGACTGAACGAGAAGAGATGGAGACTCAATTAATACGTATGTATACTAATTGTAGCGACTCTTTTTCCCACAGCCTGAATTGAGCAACTGACAAATTTAATCAATAAAGGGTCCCTGATCACATCATACTTCAATATCATACGCAAATCAATTCAAGATCTTGTGCCGAAAGCTGTAATGCATCTTTTAGTCAATCATTCCCGCGAGTCGGTACAAAATCGATTAGTTGAAGAGTTATACAAGGAGGAGCTTTTCACCGAATTATTACAGGAGGATGAGAATCTGGCGAGCGAAAGACAAAAATGCAAAACGATGCTTGAAGTCTACAGGAAGGCTTTTGAGATCATGAACGAAGCTATGTGAGGATGACTTAGGTATTATGGGACCGGTTGCTTGCAGTTATACTACGTGTGGAATATGTATAAATATGTGAAAGAGTTGTTACTACGTTTTAAATATCACAATAAATTTGTATTTATGAAATCCTTGATATGTATACATACATGTTCTCTCTTTATACCATTTATTTTTGGTAAAATTGACGATGATAATAAATTACCATTTCAAATTCTGGTGCATCTTAACATTCTTTTATAGGTCGCGTTTGTCGGAAAAAAAAAAAAAAAAAAAAAGAAAAAAAAAAAAAAAAACAATAAAAAAAATAAATCTTTTAAAAAAAAAATAGAATGCAAAGATATTAACAAACCACCTAAAATAACGAAATTTCTGAAAACTTCAATACATTAATGAAATAAATTTGTGGTGGTTGGGTAATAATACATATTGTAGTTATTGGCATATCGTACGTTTCGCACAGTAAAAGTATGTGGCGGCCATGCTAAGTTATCAATGTTATCGAAACACGTATAAATAGGTTGTGTATCAATAACTAGAAAGAGCAAAGAAAATGTCCTTTTTTTTTTTGCTCAGAAAAGGATAGCTATTAAATTTATTATAAAAAAAAATAGGTATAGACTATGAGTCTTTTAAGTGTATCTGATATTTGCCTTCTTTCAGCAAGCTCATTTGAAGTCTCGTTTTTGAGCCATCAGGTCGTTGTATTACCACCTAATATTAAGATTAAAGGATGAGAAACACCCTCCAAATTTTCACTGTTCAACATCAATAGATGTATTTTACCTCAGAATCTGTCGCAGACAAAAATTTTGCTGTATACCGACCAGACGTAGAATCAATTACGAGAACCGCGTCTCCCTTCTTAAAGCACTGTCCGAAATATAGACGATCTCCTGAAGAGTAGACATCATGATCTTCCTGCGAAAGAAAAGGATTGTTATTATTATCGCATATGTTTGGTCTTGATATTGTGCTCATTTGAGGAGACGAAGATGATGAGGACGGGGCCAGAACTATTATGATACAGTTATTAAACAATCGAGGAATATGTAACGACGGTTACGAAATAAATCAACGGTTATCTGAAAATATACCTTGGAATTCTTCTTCTCTTATAATCTATCGAAATGTAAAGTGAATTTTACTTTTTCCAACTTTTTTCAACGCGTATCTGCATATCAACAAATTAAACAAAAATACTAACTCCCATCAGCGCTAAATCATCTTCAATCTCGTCCGCCTTCAATGTCTCTAAAACTGGGGGTAATTCCAGTCAAAGAATAATATTACTACCACTTGAGTAAAGTGCCTTAAAGAAAAAAATTTGTTTTTTTTTAAAGGATATCAGCCGGAAAACCGTGATTTTCTTGTATATATTTAAATTCTGATAATGTGTTTAGCCACTGCTCTTGAACTTGCTTCAAATATATTTGATCAACTGTCGTGTGCTCTAATAAATTTGCAATTCGTGAAACGGTTAATTATCATGATGATGAGAGATCACATCAAAAGTCGAGTAAATGGCATTCACCTAAATTCACATCATCTAACTTATTTTTTTCTTTTACCAATCTATATTTTTGTCTTTCCAAATCTTCCAATATCTGCTTTCGTAATGCTCGAATGTCTGCCTGCGAGATAAAGAACATGCAAATATTATATTTTGATTACATCATCCGAACCATACATTGCGACTTACCATAAATTGATAATCGGCCCTATGCCTAGCTTCATCGTGTTGCTTTTGGCAATGCAATTCCTGATATTTCTTCCGTAAGGCTGTGATCTCTAAACGTCTTAGGCGTTTTTTATCAATTTCTTCCATACGCAATATTTGCTCCGGATGAATTCCTGAATATGTTAAATGAGCTTATACCGCATAAACTATGACAAAGAGGTAGAATCATTATTCGAATCTTTACCTTGATTTATTGATTCAATTTCTTTATCAAGCTCTTGGATTCGTTCTCGATGCACTCTGCGTGATTTACACGACACGACCATGAAAGAATTCCTCTAATAAATCAAACGTCATATAGTATAATAACCACTCACTGGTTCTTTAACTGGGCGAAGTCAATTTCTATGTCTTTTAATTCTTCTTGAATTTCTGTCCGTGGCTTGTCATTTTCGTCGTGTTCTATTCATATAATGAACATAACCAATAATAAAGAGTTAGCACGTGAAGTGAAGTGCCTCGCAAAAAAAATCGGACGAGTCACTTGGAGCTGCGCCATCATAATGTACACGTCACAAAATTCGGAAAATGCTACGGGATGACCATGAACATAATTGGTTTTAAAAACCTATGACGCAGATCAAGACGAGCTCCAACATTTTTTAGGGTTGGAAATATGACAATCGAATAAACGGAAAGAATCATGCCTTCTAGCCTATGGACATCGGACATGTTGCTGTCATCATCATTTCCGGTTTGACC